GTCACAGGGCAGGAGTGATAAGTATGCTACTGAGACACACCAAACAAAAGAGAACAAACAAAAACAGGCCGCGTGTGACCGGCCTCAAGCAGTTGTCCCCTGGGCACTGCGGTCACGCAACCAACTTCCACGGTGTGGGCAGCCGGGAAGTAACAAACGCCCTCACAATCCAGACAGAGGCAGAAACTTATAGACTTCTATGAGCATATATATATATATATATAACCCTGAAAGCTGTGTTGACATCGATACAATGTCCATTATCGACCAAGTGTGACAGGATCGAATACTTAATTTCCCCCCTGCTGAACCAAGGTGGTAAATGTTCTTGAACCCGTAGATGAACCTGCCTAGTCTTGAGTCCTATATAACCTGAGCCACAGGAACAGTTCAAATGGTATATGGTATACAAATCGACGTCTATTTGTTCCAAAGACTGCGTAGAGAAAGAACTCCAGGTCATTCGAGACATTCTAAGCGAGAACGGACATCCAGAGAACTTCATTAAAGCCAACATAGGTTACAATAGTCGTAAACATGAACTGGCAACTGTAGAGAAAAATCCTTCGTTTTTACGGCTCCAATTCAAGGGAGATACTCCTGCGGAGATTCTATCGCAACATTTAACCAGGTCGATCAAGAAAACTTTCTACTCTGCACGTCTGTGTCTATCCTACAGTAGCCGTCCAGTGTTCACCCAGCAACTCAAAGATGTCTTACCTAACCTTAGCTCTTCTTCTTAAACATATCGTTTCAACTGTTTCTGTGGTTCAAGTTATGTAGGGCGCACGATTAGGCAGGTTCGTCTATGGGTTCGAGAATATTTACCAGCTTGGTTCAGCAGGGGGGAAATTAAGTGCATAAAAAGCTCGATCCTTGGTCACACTTGGTCGATAATGGACATCGTACGGCTCTAGATTTTTAATTCGGATGCCTCAGGTCCAAGTCGAAGATTCTTATTTCACACAGAATTCACAGACCCATTCATGAATAACACTCTTCCTTGCTTAAAGTATTTTTTTATTACAGCTTGATTCCACACCATATTTTTGGTACAAGTATGGAATTTTCAGCATGGATATCGGTAGCCCAAATTTTGCAGGCCGACCATAGATATCAGATGTGCTTCGTCGGCAGGGGCTAGAACCTCGGACAATGTTCATGGTCGGCGAGAGTCCTAACCACTGTGCCACCGACGTAAATCTACATCGAGGTGAGCATTTCGAAAGGAATAAAATATGCATTGTTCTCAGGCAAAAAAAAAACGAATACAAGTTTTGCTGAAAATAAAATATGAAGGCAAGGTAATCAATCATATAAGTAATTGAATAAAAATTGAGGCGTAAATTACATAAGTATGGTTGACAAGTATTGAATTGAATTACGCGCTAACTTTTGTTTTAACCCTAATTCTAAACACACTTATTTGACTCAATCATAAAGCATAAATTTAAATATACTTGACGAATCAATAAAATATTTAAAAAAAATTAGCTAGATGGATATGAATAATGTGATGATATATGTCAAACAAAAGGTTAGTTATCAAAGGAGATATACCTTTCAGAGTATTAGTGAATAATTGGAGAAGCCTTTTGTTATATTTACTACTTGTTCGTTTCAGTGTAAGATACGGTGAAGGATAAATTTTCTGTAGTTGGTTAGTAAGGATTAGATTTGGTTTTATGACTTTAACGACGGATTGATATCAGTTAGAGAACCATTGAAAACCAGTGCTGGATTATTGGAAAGCCAGCTGTTTCATCCCACTAGTTTGGAAATTATTGACAGTACGCAACCACCCAGGATGCTCGCTAGTGACTTGTTACAGAACGGAATTTCTCGGAGTTCGAGTGAGAAGTCGTGTCCATCCATCCAGAGGTCCACCCGGTCAAGTGTGAGGATGGATGTCCCACCGATGATATTGGTTGATGCCAGTCGCGCTAAATGCACCATGAATTGGGATATAAGTTAGAATTCATGGACTGGCCATTGAATCGGGTCCTAGTCGCTGAATCCTATACAAGCTTGTCTTGTGAGACCGGAAAGTCCTGTGTACGAACCCTGTAGGGTGGGTGTGCACTGCTGATGAGTCCAAAACTAGTGAGATCAAACAGCTGTCCAGTTCCGTAGTACTGGTTTTCAATGGTTCTCTAACTGATATCAATCCATCATCAACTCTTAAAGAAGGATGCGTTGATTGGTCCGAAAATTGTTCTTATCATAAATCACTTCTTAAAATGTAAATCCTAAAATCTAACAAGAAATCCAATCCAAGACCTTTGGATTTTAAAGTAAGCCTAAGGACATGAGCTGGTAGATTTCAGAAGTTACTCAACAGTCTATGAATCCATCTTTCACAGCATCTTCGTTTTGTACTGTTAAATAATTTCAAAGCAGGTTGAAACTGCGCCTAAGTAATGTCTCTGATTTTTTCCTATAGTTCACTAAGTGATTTTGAATCGTTGTGAGATCTACAATAAGATTAATGGTCTCTTTGAAGTACAATCTTTTAGGGCCATTCAACTGCGTAAACTAAAATTACAATTTAGCGGGAAGAGAGGGATTGTCTCCAACCATTCGAAAAGGTGACTGTAGATGTTATGTACCCTAGTGGGTCGAGGTTATCAGAAGTAAAGTTTAGAACCCAGGCTGTATGTTTATTGGGTCATCAACAAGGAGTATCTGTAACTTTGAAGGAATTAATGCTTCTTCTGGGATTGATATTCTTTTAAAAATTCTAATTAGAGCGTCAGTCTTTGTCTGCTTCCATAAAATATTGTGAACATAAAATGACATGAAGTTAATTAGGGCTCACAGACATTGGATAAAAGCACACAGAGGTGTTCCCACCAGAAATAAACAATTAGTTATGTAAACCAATGGAACGTCCTAGTTTTGGTCAGATATTCAGGGTAAATTGTACTGCCTTCTAAAGAACAGCTTCACATAGGAAACAGAATACAAGCATAGTAATCTGCCTTTAAGCAGATATGAAACCCACAAGAAATAACCTCATAATTTTTTAAAGCATAATACTGACAGGACTGAGTGGTGAAGACAAATTTCTTCGTTAACGGATATCATTCAGATTATACCTTCAATCTGCGAAACACTTGACATTAATTCCGTTCTAACCTGAAACGTTTCAGGGGTGGACACCTTGGGAGACAGCCGACTTGTCTTCCCTCAATGAAAGCAAGAATAAGAATAAAGATGCGTAATGCACATACAATGTACAAGGATGGCTGGTAAGGCTGCTCAGATAGCCAAAGAAATGTGAAGAAGATATGGTACAGAAGTGCTGGAAATCTGCGAGAGCAGATGGAATGGATGTGGATTATTAAAGTTGTCACCTGGAGAGACAATAATCCACTCCGGTTACCCAGACGAAAACCACAAGCACACTCAGGAAGTAGCTATGATGATATCATTAACAGCAGCCAAAGCTATCATGCAGTGGGAACCAATCTCCTCCAGGGTTATGACAGCAAGATTTGACTCAAAAGGACGGAAGGTTGTACCCAGTTTCATCACTTTCACTATAAGTCAAAATCTTGACTTATATTTTCAGTTGTAAAGATTATCGGCATAAATCTATGTTCAAATAAGATAAGTTTAATGTTAGATAGTACACCGTAGTGACTAAGGTAAGACAATTATGTAGATCTCGTTCTATTTGGGATTCTTCACTGGTTGTACACGCATTCTGCAGCGAGTGATGGTGCTCCCATTGAGGTTTGAACTCACTACGCATGGTTTCAAACGACATAGAGCCGCCGACATGTCAACCTGAGGCCGAACACTTCGGTTCAATCAATTAACAAGAAAGCCCGAATTGAATTAAATGATTCGACTTCAGAATTGGAAACTTTCTTTTTAAATTGACACTACATGTATACATTGACCAAGACCTTAACAACTAAAGTGCACCGTAATGCTGTCATAAAAGTGAAAAGAGTTGTCCTCTTGGAATGTGATGCGATCGACATTGGACAAACATTGCCAGAGAGAAATCAAAATCAGAAGAAATGAACACCGTAGAGCATCTCTTCGACCAGCAAGAAATCCAGTTGAACTAGAAAAACTTGAAAAATCATCAGCCATCGGTGGTGGTCTACACGCTACGCTATAGAATCAGGCCACAAAATTAACTTTGACAATATTGAAATCATCATCCAGAAAAAGCATTTCAGAAATCATAAAGAACATTTAATATCAGAAGCCAGCACTTCATATCAAGTGGAATCCGAATTGTCTGAATGGGAATGATGAACTAAAACAGAATCTGACATGGTTACAACAACCCCCTCCCCAATGAAGTGACAAAATCAACGCGAGTGTGATAAGCAAGTTCACTATGTAAACACACACGCACCACTTTTATAATTTTACACACTGATCAAATCCAACAATCTACACTTGATTTTGTTATCTTTACCAACTGATCAAGTTGATAACGAAAAATGCCCCCAGACTAACGAACGATGATCAAGTTAGTAAACTTTATTTTGATATCATAACAGATGTACTATTACCTTTGATATTTGGTTTAGTGATTGATCTTCATTGTTATTTTGACTTTCAATATGTCCTCCTTTTAACTTGACCTAACTTGTCTATTTTCTCACCTCTTAACTCTTTGTTATATATAAGCTGAGTGGATTTTGTAAATTCCGGTTTAATAATACTTTGATAAAGCTATTAGCAGCAGCATTAAATAGCGACACGTCAGTAAAAACAGCAATATCGTTTTGTTTTTCATTCATTCACTGGGAAACACAAAACCACCCTTATTATAATAAATATCATAAACCCAATGCCCAAATTTTTTCAAACTGTTTAAAGTGAACATGGTTTGGACATATATTACATAAGGAAAAAGTTTCGATCCGAATCCAAATGACTTCAGAGTGAACAGCGAAAAGTTAAACTGCTCAAACATGTGAACATTTACACCCAAAAAGTAGAATGAATGAATAGTGATGACAAAAACTCACCATACTTGACTCTTGAAGACTCAACGCATAAACTAAAAAGCTTGTATAGACGATCGGAGAGGTCACGTAGACTTCTTCATCCTTATTTGATGAATCATTTTCGAGATCTGTCGGCAATGAACTGGTGGTCATAGGTTTATTATTATTTACTGTCGAATTAGTTATGTTGGCAGAAATATCCTTTGATAAATTAATCTCTGAATTAGGTGCTCCATTCATACAACGGATTATAACAATCTTCTCTTGTGAACGTTGTTTTGTAGGCGAAGATAAACTTTCTTTATACGTTCCATTGATCAAAGAGGTTATATTGCGTACATGATCTAGTTGAACAAAACCCTGACAAACATACATACAAAAAGAGCATGAAAATAACAGCAGCATGGATAAATAAATCTGATCGATTAGAAGTTAGAAAAACGAATTTAGTATTAGAACGTACAAAGTAATTAGTTTGACGTTTAAACTCTTTATACTCCCTAATGTCACCAGTTGGGTCAACTCCATCGTACCATAAGCCGATGGATCTCCTGTATTCAACAGAACTTGCTAAACTTTACTCTGTCAGCTGTCAGCTAAAACCGTAAGGATCCCTAAAAACTAGCTCTGAAAAATGAATCTAATGCCCATTAAATAACTAACTATGGAATGGATATCTTTGGGTTCTTTTAAGAAGTTTGGCGACTTGTGAGGCCCATCAAATTGGATGTGAGGATGAAAAGACACTCACCGACTGCACTGGTTGGCGATGTCGCTATGCATATATTTCGATTCGGCGGAAGTTAGAATTCCTGGGCTATTGGATTTCAAATACTTCAAATCAAAAACCTTAAGATTTTGATTTACATTTCTCTAAAGTGGTTCATGAATGCGTACTGCTGAAGAACCTCAGACTAGGATGTGATCTAACAAGGATACCCTACCAGTCTAATCCATCTTTGCCTCCCTTCATTATTAAAGCTAAGCGAGCATCAATCATAATTTAAAGTATAACAAATATTCCATAAAAATGTTACGTGATGCAAAAATTTATTTAAATGTTACTTTGCAAGGATTTGACTGGTTACAGGTTTTCATCATGAGCTGATATCGGTAAGACAACCATTAGAAAACCAACTGGGAGTACATGACAGCTGATAAGTGCCACTAATCGTACTTAAAGTATTATCATTATGGTTTCCTTTAATTCCTGGAAAAACACAGGTCTTCAGCCTCATGTCTCCATTGCATTCGGTTGTCGGTTTTAACCTTTTCACCTGACTCTACGTCAGCCCACACGCTTTCATCTCTTCTTCTCATCAACATCCTCTTCCATGTCATCCCAACCTCCCACTGATGACCAACCAAATCGCCGCTTCCCATTTGGGTTCTACTCGAGCTATAGCCTGGTGTGTGATGTCACCCACTTGATTTTATCAGAGTATGGCCAATCCACCTAACTCCATTTCCTCCTGCATATTTGTTGCACAGTCGGTTTCTACAGGGTTGGTTTGCCCAATGCCAGAGATCTCTGTTGATGATCTTTTCTGGCCGGCCATCTGATCTTGGGTGAAGTATTCAGCGAAGACAACCTTTGATAAAGGTCTGTAGTTTGCTCGAAGTGCCTTTCGTGGTGCGGCGCGGCGCCAAGTCTCTGAACGGTATAGTAGCACTGACTGACTTCACATTAAAGTTGAAAATACCGATCTTATTTTCCATACTGAGTACTGCTAATCTCCACTCAGACTTGAGAGAAATGAAAGCTTGCCTTGATTTCCTGATCTTCGCTTTGATATCCTCATCAGCTCCGTCCGCTTGTCATTAAAACGATGCTTCCTACGCCGGTAAAGGAGGTTGCTTCTTTCGGATTCAGTTTCTCCTATTCAGGCTGGCTGATTGTTGTCTGTTGTTGGTGCTGTCGCTGTTGGCCAGGAATCTTCATCACCACCTCTGTTTTCTCTATGTTCGCCTAAAGTCATATTTTTTCTCTGCCTGCTTGTTCTACCGATTTGTTTATTTTCCTTTGTATATCATCCAGTTTGTGGGAAATCAGACATATATCATCGGCGACGTCCAGATCCTCCAAGTGTTTTGTGAGGCTCCATTTTATGCCTGTTTCCTCACTGCCCACTGACTGTCGCATTATCCAATCTACTGCAATCAGGAAAATCATTGGCTATAGTTGGCAGCCGGCCAGTTTGTCTTACTTCCATCTTCACTTCTTCGACAGAGATTCCATGAGTTTCCCGCTGTGAACTTAAAGTATAATAAAGCTAAACGCTTTAGTTTTCCCTTATAAAACAACTAATACCATCATATGAACCTATTACGGAGTTGTTTTTTCATTTACCTAAATATGTTTATTATGCCTCAATGCATAAATTTCTCTTTATGACATTAAACTCCAACTCAATAGTAGTAATAATAACTCAAGTGGAATAAAAATTTTCAATTTGATTGCATCTCTGTTTCCTGACAATCACTTAGAATCTTTATTATTTAAGTACACAATTATATTTTAAATTTAACAGGATCCAATTGATTGGAAGGAACAAACTATCAGTCAATCATAGTTTAAGTGTTGGTTTATAAGATTTGATTGGTTACAGGATTTCATCATGAACTGAAATTATTTAGAGAACCATTGGAAAACCTGGGAATACTGTACAGCTGTTTCGTTGGCCTAGTTTCGGACTCTTCATCAGTACGCACCCACCGGGATTCGAACCCAGGACCCACTGGTTACAAAGTGAGCTCGTATACCATTAGGCCACGACTTCTCACTAGAAGTGAGAAGTCGTGACCAGTAGGGTATAGCAGGTCGGATGTGAGGACAAATACCCGCCACCGACGACACTGGTTATTGGTCGCTCTATCTCGTGAATTGGCAGAAGTTAGAATTCATGGTGGCATGGCGGTTAGGACGCTCGCCGACCGGGGTTCGATCCCCGGCTGACGCACTCCTTTACCTCGCTAAGCCAGAAACAATGCTGGTAAAGAGGAAAGGTTGGGCATGAGACTAGCAACCCCATCCTGTAAAAATTAAACACTGCTACAGAAACTTCAAGCCACTAGCTTGAAGCCCTATGCTCCACTGGGAACGTGAATGAAAAATTATTATTATTAGAATTCATGGGCCATTGGATCGGGTCCCAGTGGCTTAATGGTATGCGAGCTCGCCTTGTAACCAGAAGGTCCTGGGTTCGAATCCCGGTGCATACGTACTGCTGAAGAGTCCCACACTAGGCCAACGAAACAGTTGTTCAGTACTCTCAGGTTTTCCAATGGTTATCTAAATAATGTCAGCTCATGATGAAATCCTGAAACCAATCAAATCCCTACAAACCAACACTTGAGAGATTGTTTCAATAAACATACATTTAAGCAAGTTACTGTTGTAAGATGTGTCCATTGAAAGTGGAAGACATGAAGAGATTAGTCGTCTTTGATTATAGATACCTGAATTCTATCTCCTGTATTGTATGATTTAACTTTGTCAATAGTGATTAGGTTAGGCGTAGAAAGTTAGGCAAGGAAAGGAAGTTAAAATCGATAAGGCTGCGAAGCCATATCGACTGCGATAGCTAGAACACGTGTTACATAATTCGAGCCATTGCCTTTGCTGTCGAGAATTATTATATGATATAGGATCAGGCTGAAAAAGAATTACAGGAGATCAAACCAAAAGGTGACATTGATCTGTAACCAACTGACTGACTGGTTTCAGCATAGAACTTTTCACAGATGCGCAGCAATTTGAGTTTCCATACTCCTTCATGTAGCACACAAATCAAGAGAAGGAAGTAAAGAGAGATTCGAAAGAAGGACAACCAACGGAATTGTGAGTGAGGGAGAAGGAACAGTGATATGGAAGAACAATAGAGTTTTATTGGATATGACAAATCACAAAGATGGAATGCATCTGCGCCATCCATTGACAACGACTTTGAGCCATATCACCAATTGTCTTCAGCCACCATTGATTCTTACCATCTCGAGGACCCCAACCAGACAACCAGACAGTCTACACCTCCCTACATGGCTGACCTAAACAAGCTATTACGAATTTCCCTGTCTGATGACGTCATGATTTAAGTTGACCACCACTTGCTCTTTTCCAACTTTATCCATCTTATGTCTAGGAAGGCGATGGCTAGTCATGCGTAACACATGTCCTAACCATCCCCAATCGATGAACTTTCACAACCTGGTCTATATGTTTCGCCTTCCTACCTAGTACTCTATGCCTAACTTCAATATTACTCATTCTATTATACCACATGGCATATGGGAGATAGAACGCAGACATCTATGATCAAAGACAGGCAGCCGGCCTTCTCACGTCTTCCACTTTCAATGTTCATTTTTCACAGTAATAAGGTGGGAGGATGGGGCAATTGTCGCTGTGCAGTACACACGCCCTTTGATCAGCAACCAGCCAGATATCACGACTACTCCGGAGAATTAATCCATGACGTCTATTACAATTGGTTTGAGCCACATAGAGGGAGGTACAAACCGCCTTGTTGACATCCTCAAACTGCTTAGAACTATTAGTTGGAGACTATTAGTGAAATGACTGAAAATCTCTCTCAGTGGCATGGATCCGATCAATTTTTCTGCTTCCCTAGACCCATCATCCCTTCTTCGAACACCTTCCGCTTATTATAGATTCCAACTATTTCCTTCGCCCGTTTTCTACCTTTCACGTAGACTATTATCAAATATGGTAAGTTGGAATGTTGAAATTGTGTGCAACGTTCTGCATGGAACATTCAGTTCATTCTAGTCGAGGAAAACCTAAAGATTATGAAGTGTAAAGCAAACTGTATGGTGTTTGTAGGCGCAAACGATAAGTTATATTCGCAGTATCTGAGTCGGTGGTACAGTGGGAGAATGCTTGCCAACCATGCTTCATGTGGTTTGGGGCTTGATCCCCGGTCATCGACGCACTCCTTTACCTCGCTAAGCCAGCAGTAAGACTAGTAAAGAAGAAGGGAGGTTAAGCACACGACTAGCAACCCTATCCTGTAAAAATAAATACCCCCGTTACTGAAACTTCCGACCTCTAGCTTAAAACCCTATGATGTTCCATTGGGAACGTAAAGGAATACATGATTAGATTCGCAGTATAATAATTATAATTAAGTTCTTTCAAATGATGTTTTACACGCTAAAACTACTTCTTACTTACGCAGACTTAATCATTTCCATACTTATTAGTCGTAAAATAGTATTTGAAACACGTCCACACATATGCACACATGCACAAACACACAGACCATTTTTTGATTTTAATTTCGTTCAGTTTCGATGACTTCGCCGATGATATATGTCTGATTTCCCACAAACTGGAAGAAATGCAAGTGAAAAGCAACAAGTTGGCAGAAGAAGCATCCAGAGAAGATAGGAACGACTTCATGTGAACATAGAGAAAACAGAGGTGGTGATGAAGATTCCTGGCCAACAGCAGCACCAACAACAGACAACAATCAGCCAGCATGAATGGGAGAAACTGAATCTGAAAGAAACAGCCTCCTCTACCTACCTGCCTACCTATCAACCTGGGAAGCATCGTTTCAACTACAGGCGGACGGAATTGTCGAGGATATCAAAAGGAGGACCAAGAAAGCAAGGCAAGCTTTCACTACTCTCAAGTCTATGTGGAGGTCAACAGTACTCAGCATCCAAATTAAAGATCCGGATTTTCAACTTCATTATGAAGTCAGTGCTACTAAATACGGATCAGAGACTTGGTGCGTCATAAAGAGCACTTCAAACAAACTACAGACCTTCATAAACAGCTGTCTTCGCTCAATACCATTCAAGATAAGATGAAAGGCTAGAGAATATCAGCAGCAAGGATCTCTGGAAGCGAACCAACTCAGCAAGAACCGACTGTGCAACAAATAGGCAGGAAGAAATGGAGGTGGATTGACCATGCTTTGAAGAAACCATCAAGTGACATCATTAGACAGGCCATTGCTAGAGTGGAACCCGAAAGGAAAGCGGCGAGTTGGTCGTCAGTGCGAGGGTGACTTCGAGGAGGTCATGTGAAGAGGAGACGAAAGCATGTGGGCAGACCTGAAGTCAGCTGAAAACTCTAGCAGAGAACCGAATGCAACGGAGACGTTTGGCTGAAGCCCTATGTTCCTCTAGGAATTAAAGGAAATAATAATAGTAATTAGTTTTGGTGCATAAAAATATAACTTACAAAACATCCAACTGTTATGCAACAAAAAGCTTCAGTTAAAGGGAATTGAATTTCTGGCCTGCCATGGAACTGCCTCAATAAACCTATAAACACGAAGAAGAAGAAGTAGGAGAAGACGTTTATGCCGAAGATAACGATGATGAGAAATACCCTCGGTCAGCACAAATACACACTTAGATCTTTTCACTGAGTAAATAACAAAATTTGATACTAAAAGTAAATATTAAGGAAAAATCGATTAATTTAAATGGTTTTAAAAAAACTTTAACATATGTACACAAGTTTTTTTTATTATTCTCGTGTAATTTTAAATCTCAGATGTTGCTGCATTGCATGAATCTGGATGATCTCAAATTAGATCATGAATGAACATTAGTTGGGCGTATCAACAAAAATCAGGGAATACTGGAAAACTGCTTCGTTTTAATTCGGAGCATCTATCATCTATATGCATCGGCGGCAAAGCGGTAGATCTATTGGCAACCACGCCTCAAGTGTTCCGGGTTTCGATCCCTGGCCACCGGCGCACTCCTTTACCTCAATAAACTGGTAATAAGAACGGTAATGATAGAAGGCTGGACATGAGTCTAGCAACCCCACAGATAAGATGTCGGTAATAAAGAAAACTAAATCAACTAACAACAAGAACTAGCAGTAATCACCGCCATTGGTGGAAATAGGAGAGAGATCACTACCTTCACTTATGCAGGAAGCATCGTTTCAACTGAAGTTGACACCACGGATGAGAACTTTACAACCGTAGTTGGAAGGGCGAAACAGATATTTATCAACCCTGAAATGAGTTTGGAAATCTTCTCCACCCCAGCATAAAAAATAAGGTCAAGATTAATAACGCAAAATTTAAGTCAATCAGTTCTTCAATAAGGGTTAGAAACTTGACCGGCATTTCCAACAGGCTACTGTAGACATTAATCAGCAGCTGTCTCTGCTCCATGTAGAAGACCAGGAGGTGAGAAGGAATAAAAAGAAGAAACTTTAGGAATGAACCAGCCAAAAAATTATTCCTCAACAAATTTTCCGAATGAAATGGAGGTGGATGGGATACACCATCGCTAGAATCGAATCCCAATGGGAAAGGCCAAGTTTGTCATCCGAGAATGACATGTAGAAGATCGTGTGAGCTTGAGAAGATTATAGACTGTGGATAATCGTGAGGCCAACTGAAGATCAGAGCAGAGGATGGGAGAAAGTGGAGATGTGATATTAGTTGGTTGGAGGCAATCGGCCACAGGAAGCCTAGCATCACCTGCAACCAGCTTGAAGGAAATCATGTCCCTCCTGAAATTTGAACCCGCATCACCCAATGACTGCTGCAGTCAGAGACGTTACCTTTGAGCTATTCGGGCTAGCGATTGACCTCCTGTAGGATATGAGCTCCTTCAAGGTTGCAGACACGCCTTGCTGACGAGTGCCAACTAGCACGAAACCTAGGTCCTGTTGCCAGTTGCTTCCAGCCATTTAATATTATCAAATCAATGTGCACCGTGATGGGCAGCTACCTAGAATGATGGCCACATTGCAAACCTGACTAATAGAATTCAGTCTGCACCGAAGAAAGGACTAAACACATCGCAGTAGTTAGTCGTTTCCAATCAAAGTAAAGTGAAGATACGCTTTTGAAGCTCTATATTCCACTCGGAACCCAGTGGAACAATAATAATGATAATCACCCCACGGAGGGTAACACCCAGGATCTTCAGGTAACGAGGCAAGTTGGTTTACCATTCACTTCTTGTGACAGAATCAGGTGACTAATGAATTCTAACTTCTAATGATTCGTCACATAAACCGACACTGTCAATAAATGTTATTAGCGAGTAATAATCATACGTACGACTTGGTCAACCCTGCCGGCCATGACTTCTCAGTGCAACTCCAAGATAACCATTCTATATTCAGCAGGTATTCATTTGGTTTCAATTTAAATCATGAAATGGCATCTATTAGGGAACCACTAAACACTAGCTCAATGAACTTAACAGCTGTTTCGCCACAGTATGAACTGTTTAACATTACGAACAAATCATGCCACCGAAAATCGAAGCCAGAACCTTCAGATTATGAGGCAATGTCAGTGACTGCTCAGCTACTGGGATAGAGTTCAATGGCTCATGAATGTTAACTTTTCCAATACTCGATATGTAGCACCAACACCAACCAGTGCCATCAGTCAGTGTTCATCCTCATGTTACATGCAGTGGAACCCACTAGTCACAAGTTCTCACTAGAACTCAGTGATATCCATCCCATAGTTGAATATTGGTGAGAATCAGATTAATTTCCCAGTGTTGGGTTGCAGAGATCTGACTGACTTCAAGTTCGGTCACAAACTAGCATCGGTTAGAGAATTACTGAAACCACAGGAATTCTGAACTTCTCCTTTTTCTTAGTTTAACAGTCTTCATCAATACACCCCAGTGGATCCCAATCCCACTGCCAAATGATAATGTGTTTGCTTTAGCTTTGGTCCTTGGATGGGGGGAGGGTTACAGGTGCACAGTGTTGAAGAGACCCAGACTAAGATGAAACCACTGTTCAGTACTTCGTAGGTTTTCAATGATTCACGAACTGATATTGTTTCTTGATCTATTATGACATCTCTGTGATAATGGATTCAAGATATTCAGAGACCACGTCATCAGATTTCAGGAATAAATCAAAAAAGTCATGAATTTAAGAACAACGCATCACAACGCATATCTATCACAGATGTACTTAACACATTTCAGTTGAACTTAACTTTGATTTATAACTCCGCATTACAGTTCTAGTAAGTTCTGTGTGGGTGTACATACGTAAAGTTGGTCACGTTCGTCACTAAATACCCTACTCCTATATGACATTCATAATAAATTCTTTTATGATAAATTAACACTTTACTTCGTATTAATGTTGGATTATACAAGACTTCGTTGTGTAGGCTTAATGTAACCACGAAAACGTCATTCAAACGGATTTTAATTCAGTCACTATGAAACATGAAGTGTATGCCGTTTGTTCAGACGAACTACTGATGACAGCCAGTTAGGTGATAATCCATCATCCTGAAGGATACAGAGCAAAACAGGCTAAGTAGCACAGTTATTCAAGTTAAGTGACGTCTCAGTTAGTGATGTATTACCTCTTGCCTATTGAATTTAACATAGTCCGGATGACTTGAATTTTATTATTATTATTATTGTGAAAATTGTTGAGCTTCAGTGCTACAAATCCATCTTACTCAGTTATCGACTTCACAACCACCTACAAACTTTCATTTCGTTTTCTTCTTCAGATAATCTCATGTGTCACTCTCAGTCCACACCCCGCCGATACCAGTGCTTTCCACTCCTTCCTCTCCGGAGAGTCTAAAATGTGAGGTAATTTGGGGATCTCTTCAGGGTATACCTAATCTATCTCCATTTTCGTCTGCAGATTTGTTAAGCAGTAAGCTGTAGACTGGTTCTCTTCCAGAGTATCATCGTTGCTCGTTTAACCCTTCTAGCCGGCTATCTTATCTTCAGTATTAACTAAAGGCGGGTATTGATGAAACCTAAAGCTTACTGAAAAGGATTTTGGTGACTCATCCAAATGGATATCTTAAAGTAAAAATAAGCAGTATAATGATGACTATTTGGTTCTTTCCGTCACGTTCTAACAGGAACACGGGGCTTCAGGCCTCAAACCCTGAGGCTTCAGTAGAGGCTGTTTTCTTTTTACAGCATTGAGTTATTAGCTAGTATATGTGTACCGAACTGTCGCCTTTCTTGATAAATAACGATAGCTAAAGCAAGAGAGTTAGGGAGCTTTTCAGATTGAAACATGGACGGCACCAAACTGCAAAGTCATGTGGTGTTATCTTAACCAATGCAGGCGGCCTAACTGGAGACTTTCAGGACGTCGAGAATAAACTGCTAAAGCCTGTTGTTGACTCATCTCAAATCACGCATCTTCTGAATTTTGGAAATGCATTTTATATTTATATTTTTTAACTTTTGATTTACAGCTTGATTCCACACCATATTTTTGGTAAAACTATGGAATTTTCAGCATGGATACTGGTAGCCCAAATTTTGCAGGCCGATCATAGATATCAGGTGTGCGTCGGCAGGGTATCGAACCTCGGACCATGCGCATAGTTGACGAGGGTCCTAACCACTGTGCCATCGACGAGTCTTCACACAATAATCCTCTCCTCATACATCCCCGATCTGATGATTTCTCAGGCTTTTCTAGTCCACTAACTGGAATCCTCAGTGGTCGAAGAGATGCTCTACGGTGTTCATTTCTTCTGATTTTGATTTCTCGAGATGTTTTTCCGATGCATATCGCATCACATTCCAAGTAAGCATTTTATTTTATAGACACAATTAGATCAAGAATCCCTAGGGATTTGACCTTTTACATGGACAAGGTTGCTTTAACAGTGTTAGTGTCTGGTGTTTTGAAGAGAACTCTAATGTCAAGCTTAGTGAGTACTGTTCTGATATCATCTGATATCTCTGTTCTATATGGAATGACAACTGTTGAGGTCCATGTTTTCGGAATACGTTTTCCAGCATACTTAATGTCAGTGTTGATTTTGTTATCTTTACCAAATGGTCAATTTAACATCGTGAAAATTCCCCCATGCTGAAGAAACATGATTAAGTTGTTATACATAAGCTGAAGAGATATTTAAAATTCTGGTTTAATTATACTACTTTGATAAGGCTATTAGCAGCAGCATTAAATAGCGAAACATCAGTAAAAACAGCAATATAATTTTGTTTTTCATTCATTCACTGGGAAATACAAAAAACCTCTATTATGAAATAATAGAGAGGATTTGTACCTCAAGTGGATCATTTGCAATTAATAGTGTTCTCTGAGCTGATTGGTTGAGTTGCGGAGATTTCGTCGTCCATCTTCTGGACAACATCCGCCTTCAGCGAAATATTTAGCATAAAGCGAAATGATTTAAATTTTCTTCATGAGTGGTGATAGAATTGCGTCTCCCGGTAACCATCTTTACATATGTAGTATTGACCATTTTCTATTGACTTGAATTTGAAACTTTCTCGTCACATGTGATTTACTTTTTATTAGTTGGTATATTTCGTCTATATTAACGTGTTTGTTAATTGCATATTCGTTTGAGTACCAGGCACTTTTGGTGTTTCCTCTGTCTAAGATTTCGACATTATCCTAATCAAACTGATTTCCATAATTGTCTGTATGTATTGATATGAAACAGAAGTACATATATCATGTCTTTTCATGGCTGATTTGTGTTCCTGGATTCTGATTCGAAGGGGATGCCCACTCTGGCCGATGTAATGGCCTGTTACAGCTCATACGATTTATTTTGTAAATGGTATTAATTTTATCTCCTTTTCTGTTGGATCTTTCGCTTTGCATAATATCGAATTAAGCGAATTGACTGGCTTGTGTGTTATATCTATATCAAACGGTTTCAGTATTCCATATGTTATTTCAAAGATATTTTTCATGTATGGTAGGATGAAGTTTCTTGTGTTCTTTGATGATGGTTCCTAGTTGGTGTTGTGATTCGATTTTAAACACTTTTTGGTGAAATTTTGTGGATAATTATTCTTTTGAAGACCGTTGGTAGGTATTTTTCTTCCATTCTTTTCATCTCTGGAGTGCTTCAGTGTGTTTGAATTCTTTTAAACAATGTCTGCACACAGTTTCTTTTGTGAGGGAGTAATTGGATTATTGCTAGTATAGTTGAGTATTTGGTCTGTGTCTGCGCGTTGATTTTCTATATACTTGTGTTTCTAAATTTCCTGTGTTGGTTCTCCTGATTAAGACATCTAAAAATGGGATTTTCTTATCTAATTCTTCTTCTCTCGTGGTGAATTTGATGTCTTCAAATATGTTGTTTATTAACTTATGGGTATATTCTAAATCATTTCTTTTAATTATTATAAATGTATCATCAATGTGACATACCCAGGTTTTCGGTTAAATTATAGATAGAGCTATTAATTCCAATCTTTGCAAACCTTTATCATACTGACTATTCATATCAGTTAAACATTTTAAAGACTTTTTCTTTATTTGGCAAAGTCTGTTGGTAACAATTAACCATCTGTGAACAATCTGATTGCTTCAGTTAAATAGAAAGGAGTAGACGTCTCTACTGTGTTTGGAAAGACTCACGTATATACATATACGTTAGTGCGAAGTTTTATGTAAGCATATATATATTTATATATGTAAGTATATATATGTAATTTAATGCATGAATGGAACTGGTCATCAGTCATACTGTATGTGCAAACACAGTCGACTTTCCATCCACATCACTTACCGAATAAACAGGCGGAGATATTGTCAAGTGTTCCTTTTGACAATGATGGAACATAGTTGAATAACTTTACACTTTCATACTTCTGATCACGATAACTAGAAAAAGTATTTAGAATAAAAAAAGCATTTGTTACCAAAGTTATAATAATAATAATAACTAGTGATATTATGTATTGGGAAAACGCCGAAATCACGAACATCACGAACAAACATCAAGTTACAGAATCACTGGAAATCCGGTAGCATTGAACAGCTATTTTTCTTTTTTTTTTGGGAGTCTTCAAAACAGGACATCTACAAATCTTCTAGGGATAGAAGCCCACACATGCAGATCGAGTAAACATAACTAGATTAGAAATGAAACTGTATATCATCGGTCTAAGTTGCTGAGTTCCAACCGCTAGGTCACTGCTTTGAACCCCGTTCTACCTACTAAGAATTGAGTAGTTATGAGGCTTCACTTGTATCTCCTCTCTTTTTCGAAATTTTGTTAAGTGGCCACGCGTTCATACTCTGTGTCTGACATATCATATTCACTTCCTTCAGACGGCGGCGGTATTAATAACAAAAGCGAAAAGGTGAATGCGGATATCTGGCAGTTACAACACGACTGGTGGACACGTAGGTCTACCTAGAGGAGAGCCGCAGAATCTTGAGTCTAAACCTATGGTGTACATGGGCCCTAGTATCCTACAGGAACGAATAGTGTATGCACCCGCTTTGGTCACCATCAACCATAGGAAAGTAGCTCCTTATGCTGTCCCACTGCGATGTGGAGGGAATCTCCCCTTAAGACAACCACTTATTTCAATTCTGGTGTCTGAAGAGTGTCTCAGCTTTTTCACAAGCATATATTGGTGAAAAATACTGTGCTTCTAGAGTGAGTGAGCTGAAATTACCACTTAGACTAGGCTTAATCTCCTTCATCTGCTTGTTCGGCGTCCTTTCAACTACAGACAGCATCGACGAGAATGTCAAAGCTAGCCAGGATCCGCACAACAAGACAGATCTTCATTATTCTGGAATCATTATCAATTAACCTTAGAATTCTTGGAAGGTATTCCTAGATAAGTTGTAATCTGTGGTTAATTTAAGAGTCGCTTGGATTGATCAGTCCAGAGCTTCCTTTACGATTTGAAGAACAGAATACTAAGGAGTATTAAAATAAAGTGAAGCAGGTTTCCACTACTTCTCAACTTCCTTTCATTCGCTATCCATTATAAATCTCTTGGTGACAGAGATACTTTTGGTTTCAAATTAAGTTACGAATTGACATCGGCTAAAAAACACCATTGAATCCCAGGGAGTATTGAACAGGTATCTAGATCTACTTCAGGGATCAGAACCCGGTGAACATTCAACCACTATAACAGAATCCATCAATCCAAACTTCTGCCAATTTACAATATGTAGCGCCACCATCAAACTCGTCTACTTTACTAGCTCGCTAGTTTTCTGGCCGGTCTCAAACCCGGGAAAAAGGGGGGAGGTTGGACACCATACCCCGGAAAATCAATCAAACTGTCCTAGAAATTTCAGTGTTTAGAAGAAATATTTAAAAAATATTTTTTGCTGGAATCGGACTCGGGTTGGTGAAAGCATTCGGGAAGTCAGTCAGTCAGCCAGTGTTTCTTCTTTCGATGAAAGTAAAAATAAGAATGGTAACGTGGAATGTTCGTACAGTTGTATGAAGCTAAGAAGTCCATCCAGGTTAACAAAGAAATAAGAAAATACGGCATGGAAGTGCAAGGAATATCATGAGTGAGCATCTCTCTTCACATTTGACTCAGTAGATGCCAGTGCTCGCAACTTCTCACTAGAATTCTAGGACGTTCATCCCATAGTCACTCACCAATGAGTATCAGTGTTAGTGTGTAGAGAATTGATCTATTTCAAACTACATCAATCTTTGTGAGATCAGTTGATGTATTATGAATACTTGCATCTATGTATGATATAGGAGATCACGCTTATGAAACTAGGTAACATCAGAAAACTTGTTTTGAAATATATATACATATATATGTATATAAAATAATGAGGTTTCACATGTCTTGAGAACATGTTGCTCTATTTTTTTTACCAATGAAACTATTCTCATATCACTCCAAGTTTTGTTTCCCTTAGATAAAAGTACATCACGAAAAGTACTCTTAACTAATAAAAGATTAAAGTTTTGGTGTTTCAATATGAAATATACTCATCATGTATATTATTCATATAACTCAATAGCTCATTAGTCTAGTGGATTACAATTCAGCGTTTGAAAACACCACTGACTGCCTTGAATCTCGGTGGGAACACCCCTACACACTGGGATACTGCCTGGTACACCCATTTGGTAACTCTAGAATGGGATGAAACGCGCAACCTCGATTCTACTGCCATCCACTACCAACCTTAGACCAAGTTAAACTTTAAGCACCACTAACCTTTGCCAATGGAGTGTGACTACTGCAAAAATGACCTTGAAACGCTTACTGAGCAAGTTAGTGAAATCTGGCGAATAATAATGTCACCATCAATAAAATATGCTCATCGAAGTGTAGTGCTTTTAAATCGGATATCTGGCACATTTCAACTTAGTTTCGGGGGAGACTAAGTTACGGTTTAAGCCAAGGACAAGTTAGAGTAAGGTTAACCTAATGAAGGCGATATCAGGGTTAGTTCGAGTTAGATGAAAGTTAGTTCAGGGATATTTTCATGTTAGGGTTAGGTTCAGGAAAGACTAGGGTTATTTCATACATTTGGCACCCTTGATAAATTTCATTAAAGAAAGAAAGACCAGATTTTGCAGTATAAAATGACATCATTCTATTTCACAGGTTCTCATCAGCTGTGTCAGCTGTCTTCTCTCAATGCCTTTTGCTTCTTTTTTCATAGTGTGATAGTATATAAATTGATGATGCGTTCACCTTATAACGTTTTCTCTATTACCTTTCAAACAATGAAGTATGAAATGTTATTATTTATAACTATTGTAATTTATGGTAGTTTGCAGGTGATGAGAATCTGTGAAATAGAATGATGGCATCATTTTATACAGCAAATTTCGTCTTCCTTTCTTTATCGAAAATTAGGGTTATTGTTAGGGTTAGAAGACATAAATAATTACACGTATAGAATGTGGTTAAATTACTCTGTTCATATAAGAATAAAACTTGTGCACTGTGGCAGAGTATAATCCCATCGCGGGATAAAATTTATTTTGATAAAGTCTCACAGTATTCTACAGTATTATTTACTGATGACGTTTTGAGCACAATTTATTGCTCAGTAAATATTACTGTCTTACACTGTTAGACTTTATCAAAATAAATTTTACCCACAATGGAATTATACTCTGTCGATACTCCTGTCTAAAACTGAGTGCTGTCTTCATCAAATGTCAGAGGAAGGTATCCATCTTTCCACGATCTTCCCATTTTTTCAATAAATAAATGTATTCCATACACAAAAGCGCCTCCTTCACATGATTGGTGCATTCGAGGTCATTCGCTGATTGGTAGTTAGTGGTACTTAAAGTTTAACTTTACCCAAGTATAAATTAACAATGGTAGTGCAGCGGCAGAATGCTCACCAAACACGCATACAGTCAGAAGCTCGATCCCTGACAGAAGCACTCTTAAACCTCGCCTAGCCAATAGTAATCCTGGTAAACAGAGAAGGTTGAGTGTGAGGCTAGCAGTTCCAGCCCGTAAAAATAAAACTACTGCAAATCTACTGCAAACTTCCAAGCTCAAGGCTGAAGTACTACGCTCCACTTCCATCGTTCAGCGCCTTCATGATAATCATCGTTACTATGTACTGAGGCTTTTGGTTCGAACAGAGAATATGCTAAACCTGTGTATGAGGTAGTTCCTCGGCAATCTACCTGGTCTCTGACTAATCAAGTCGTAAATCGACAATTCTCACTAACTACAAAACAGTTGTGCTCAAGGGTCCTTAACAGTAATATAAATGAATTGAATTTTTGATTTTCCCGTTGATTGATTGGACCGAAGTGCTCGGTCTCAGGTTGACATGTCGGCTTCTTGTGCAGATGCTTCGACGGGAAAATCAAAAATTCAATTCAATAATTAATATGACCCGTTGCACAAGAGGTGGCTCTCGTGGCCCAAGTGGTCTAGTGGATAACGCTTTGGCGTTTGAAACTATGGGTACTGGGTTCGAGCCTCAGTGGGAACATCATCACTCACTGAGAAATGCAGGTACATCCAGCTGACGAGTCCCAAATAGGACGAAATGCGCATCCTGGATTCCACTGCTAGCTACCATCCACCAATAGTAATATAAATGAATAAGAAAAGTGTCATATCTAAAGCTCAAATGAAATGACTGTTAAATATAACGCGATGAAGAATAACTAAAAGACAAGTTCATTTTCCCATGTTGAGTTGTTTGATTTGCAGGGAATCTAATGATTTAATCAGAAATGGCCACTGTAAACTGAAAAGTATCTAACAGCCAAAGGATTTCATCATGAGCTGATATCAGTTAGAGAACCAATGGAAAACTACCACAGAGTACTGGACAACTGTTTTGTCTGACTGCCTGCACCTACCCCCATGGTTCAACCCCAGGACCTGGTTGCCACTGGGACCTGATCTAATGACCGGCTCATGAATTCCACCTTCTGTCAATTCACGACACAGCGCGATCATTAGGCGGTGTCTTAGTCCAGCATTTGTCCTAACGACCGACCCCTGCTATGCCCTACTGGTTACAATTTCCCACTAGAATCCCTAGCTGAATAGGAGCAGTCGCTAGTGAGCACCTTAATGATATTCAAGTATTGGATTGTAGGGATTTGATTGATTGCTAACCAGTCTGTGCTCTCTCTCGTACAACCAAATACAAAAACTCAACGATACTCTATCTCGCCCGTTGGTGTTCTATGTGATAGACATATTGTGAGTGAGCGTGAGTCCTGCAACTCATTATGTAATTATTAAAATAAATGACCCTTTGATCTTCTCCTATTTGTCATCTAGTTACTAATATTATTATTATTAATTTATGCTTTTGATACATTTTTCGAATTTATTGTTACTGCTAATGTCAAAAGGTTGCTATTCACAATATTCAAGAGTTGGTTTGTAAGGATTAGATTTTTTTTACCAGTTTGACCACGGACTGATACCAGTCCTGGGTTCGAATCCCTGTGGTAGGTGCATACTGCTGATGATTCCCAAACTAGGACGCATGAAACAGCTGGCTGTCCAGTAAGTACTCCAGTATTGATTTTCATTGGTTCTCTAACTGATATCAATCCGTGGTCAAACTTGTAAAAAATTCACGAAATAATTGAGCGAAAAATATCCTTTTCGATAAATTCCTTTTCTGGCTCTACAATTGTATAATTATATGTTTATATACGTAGAATATTTTAGATTAGTACTCAATAACAATAGTAGTGCTTTTTAAATAATATGGATTTGTAATTAATAGTGTTCTCTGAGCTGGCTGGTTTAGGTGCGGAGCTTTTGTCGTCCTTCTGGACAACATCTTCAGCGCAATATTTGGCATAAAGTGAAACGATAAGATGAGATAAAATCAATACCATTTACAAAAAAAATTACATGCATGAACTGTAACAGGTATAACATCAGTCAAAGTGGGCGTCCCCTTCAAATCAGAATCCAGGAACACAAATCAGCCGTGAAAAGACATGATATATGTACTTCTGTTTCATATCAATGCATACAGACAATTATGGAAATCAGTTTGATTGGCATAATGTCGAAATCTTAGACAGAGGAAACACCAAAAGTGCCTGGTACTCAAACGAATATGCAATTAACAGACACGTTAATATAGACGAAATATACCAACTAATAAAAAGTAAATCACATGTGACGAGAAAGTTTCAAATCCAAGTCAACAGAAAATGATCAATACTTCATATGTAAAGATGGTTACCGGGAGACGCAATTATGTCACTCATGAAGAAATTTAAATCATTTCACTTTATGCTAAATATTGCGCTGAAGGCGGATGTTGTCCAGAAGATGCACGATGAAAGCTCCACAACTCAACCAATCAGCTCAGAGAACACTATTAATTGCAAATGATCCACCTGAGGTACAAATCTTTTCTATCATATCGATTTGTAAAGTATGATCAATGCAATTACAGTTCATTAAAAATGTTTAAATTATAATAATAATAATAAAGATATAGTAGCAAATAGAATATCAACTAAGATTAGGAAAATTCCACAAACATTCAGGATCATTCAAACCTAGATGGCCAAGGTAATGATAATGTCAGAACTAACAATTTTGTTCAAATATTTCCATATAGTGTTTATTTTTGTTGTCGGGTAAATTAGATGCAACATTGTATGAAATGCTAAGAATTTCATGCGGTATTAGAAGTACTGACTGGGAATTGGGCGAATCATTATTATTATTATTTTAATTATTAAAGCTCCTGCAACCGAACACACCTACCAATTCCCTACGAACTAACGCTTGAAAATCAATCTCGTGCCCACTAGTGATTGACTGTGGGACGAACACGACTGAAATCCTAGTGAAAAGTCGTAGCAAGTGGGGTGTGGGTGTGTGTGTGTGTGGCTGGTAGTAGAGCCATAAAATCAAGAATTTACAGGCCACTGGATTGAACCATAGTGGCTGAATATTCAGCAATCTCACCTCGTCACCCGAAGTTTCTATGTTTAATCCCCAGTGGAGTGATGAGTGAGTATTACTGAAGAGTCCAAGAGTAGGACGAAACGCCTAACCAATACTTCCCGGTTTTCAGGGGCTCTTTAACTGATATCAGTCCATAATCAAATTTAAAATAAACTAAGTTCTTACAACTGAACACTTAGGACACAAACAAAAAATCTTTGTAAGGGTACATTGGTGATGAAGATTCCTGGCCAGCAACAACAGTAACAACAACGGACAACGATCAGCCAGCATAAATGGAAGGAACCTGAAAGAAACAACCTCCTTTACCTCCTACCTACCTACTTGGGAAGCATCGTTTCAACTACAGGCGGACGGAACTGACGAGGACATCAAAGCAAGGATCAGGAAGATAAGACAAACTTTCATTACTCTCACCAAGTTTGTGTGGAGGCCAACAGCACTCAGAATCAAAAATAACATCCGGATTTTCAACTCCAATCTGAAGTCAGTCATTGCTACCCACTATACGGATCAGAGACTTGGTGCGTCATGAAGAGCACTTCAAACAAACTACAGACCTTCATTAACAGTTGTCTTTGCTCAATACTCAAGATCAGATGGCCGGCTAGAGAAGATCAGCAACAGGGATCTCTTAGGGCGGACCAACTCAGCAGAAACCGATTGTGAAACAAATAAGCAGACAGAAATGGAGTTAGGTGGATTGGCCATACTCTGAAGAAAACAAAACATCAAGTGACATCATCAGACAAGCCATCGGTCGAGTGGAACCCGGCCGAAAGGGAAGCGGAGAGTTGATCGTCAGTGCAAGGGTGACTTGGAGGAGGTCATGTGAAGAGGAGATGAAAACATATGGGCAGACTTGGAGCCACGTGAAAACTCTAGTAGAAAACCGACCGCAATGGAGACGCGCGGCTGAAGCCTTATGTTCCTCTAGGAATTAAAGGAAACAATAATGATAAGGGTACATTAACAGTTTTATCCCAACGCTAACTCACCTAGTTTTCCATCTTCTCCACATATATTGAGGATCATAAATAACTTCAATGAGATCAATAGTCAGTTCAAGTAATTCTGAAAATTTTATATCAAGTTGTTGAGCATTACAAGCCTATAAAATTTAATTTTGTAAAAATCATAATTGCTAAAATTACCAATCTCAGGAGATTCGGTACAGTTTGATGTATAGTTTCTCCGTCAGTTATCAGCTGTCGAATATCTTCATTTCTATTGAAGTAAATTAAGAGATAATGTCAAGCAGATATTCATTCAGCTTACCTTCCGAATAGACATAATAATTTCAGCATACACAATAGACTATCGAATGTTGCCGATTTTCGTCCATCGAAGGTTTCATCAGTAATTTTACTGGTTTTACCAGAACTAAGTTCAAATGAATCACAGTTTCTACAGAATACATTCAAGAGGTATTCAACACAACCACTGGGTAATTCATGTAGTTTGAGGAAATTTTTAGAAAGTCTGAAAAGAAAAAAAATACAAACAGAAGAAAACGAATAAAATGGAATTTAATTTTAAAAAAGACTATTGCAGGGGAGAAAATTTTCTTTTCGACGAAGTCACCGTCAACTAGGAGGCTGTACATTCGTGTATTTCATATAATAAATGGGTGGAAAACTTCCAGAATAATTTCTGGTCAAAAGTCAGATTGATAAAATTACAATTAGGAATTAAAATGCCATAATAAACAGGAGGGGGGGGCAAACGGATAAAACTCAAACAAATTGGCATCCTAATTACTGAGAAGATTGACATATTATTGTGCAATTGTGGGTTAGAAGTGTAGAAATAATAACAATAGACAGGATACAAAATCTAGTGGGATCATAGCTAATGTGACGAATAATTGTTTATGCAATCAGGGATTAAATATGTAGAAATAATACAATTTTCAAGTATTGGTTTTGTAGGGATTTTGTTTGATTGCATGGAGGATTTAATCATGAGCTGACATCAGTTAGAGAACCACTGGAAAACCAGCTGGGAGTACTGGACAGCTGTTTCGTCCTAGTTTGGGACTCTTCATCAGTACGCAACCACCGGGATTTGAACCCAGGACCTTCTGGTTACAAGGCGAGCTCGTAGACCATTGAGCCACTGGGACCCGTAGGGTACAGCAGGTTGAAGATGAGGCAGTAACTCATCAAAGAAGACATTACGAAGTGGTCGCGCTATGTCGTGAATTCGCAGAAGTTAGAATTCAAGGACCATTGGATCGGGTCCCAGTGGCTCAATGGTCTACGAGCTCGCCTTGTAACCAGAAGGTCCTGGGTTCGAATCCCGGTGGGTGCGTACTGCTGAGGAGTCCCAAACTAGGACGAAACGGCTGTCCAGTACTCCCAGGTTTTCCAGTGGTTCTCTAACTGATGTCAGCCCATGATGAAATCGTCCATGCAATCAAATAATACAATGACAAAGTAGACAGGAAGTTCGGATATGAAAATAGGGTAGTGTAAATAGTGGGGAGATTAAGAAAAACTTAAAAATAACGTGAATAAACAGGAAGTTTGGATAAGAAAGGCAATGAATGGGATAGTCACTATTAAAAGAATTACCTGTTTATGATGGCCATCAGAGGGACAAGGGTTGAATGTATTTCTTTTGGATACATAGCGTGTGTTTGAGCTTTTGGATGGCTAATGCCTCGGCTATGCCCAGATGTCTTAATTTTACTCCCTAATTGTACAAAGTGCGAATGTTCTCAGTAATTATGATGCTAATTTATTTGAGTTCTAACCGTTTATTTTTAACCGTTTTTAACTGCTTATTATGGCATTTTAATTCCGAATTGTAATTTTATTAATTTAACCCTTGACCGGAAAATATACTGGAACTTTCCCACCCATTTATGATAAAGAAATACACGAATGTACAGCCTAGTTGACGGTGATTTCGCCGAAAAGAAAATTTTTTTCGCCTTGACCGTCTTTTTAATAATTACTATGATCCAATGCCTATATTCCGGAATTTAATTCTAGGTGTTTCAATTATTGTTCAATGTTTCAACAGAATGATATCTACTAGACATGAAAAGATAAAGTCACCTGTGAATACATTTCAAAAGAATCTGCGAACACGGGGAAAAATATTAATGATTCCTCCCATTAATACTGGATTATTTTTCATTAGGCCGTCGATTTTCAACCAATGAATCAGGGGTCCCAGTTCTCATCCTACCTATTTCAACCTGTGCACACAGGTAGTACCAGCAGCTTGGTATGATGAAAATCTGTTTTAGTTAAATAAGTTATTTTCAAGTGTTGGTTCGCGGAAAATTGTTCGATATCAATTTAGGTCATGAAATGACATCAGGTGGAGAACTATTGTGAGCCAGGAGTTATTGGTGGCATGTTTGAAGTCTAGGCTACCAAAATACTTCATCATTGTATTGAATGTAATTTATGTTGTTCAGTTTGTTTTAATCTATTGAAACATGACTTCTAAAGGTGATTTTTATACTCTCACAACCTGATAATTCAGAAGTTCCTACTAAACTTGGGAAAAAAACAAAATAATGGGTGGTAAGGTATCCAAGTAGATGGAATAAGTGTTACTGAGACATAAAACTAACTACACATGATGTCTTCGGTTCTTTTTATTATTATTATTTCCTTGAGACAAGAAGATAGGGATATCCCGGACCAACGCGAAGGATCTAGAACACCTGGATTTCGCGCGTGGATGGTTTATGTTTGATGTCACTGTGACAAAATCGAAGACTTACAAGCAAAAATCAACAAACTGGTCAAAGAAGCCGCCGGTGAAGACAGGACTCCAAGTGAACATAGACAAGAGGGAGGTTATGAAAATAACCAACAACAACAACAGCAGCAGCAACATCCAGCGCCAATCACCCACCACAAACGGGAGGGATTTGGAACAGGTTACTTCATTCACTTATCTAGCACTGAGCATTGTCTCAACTACAGGTAGTTGGAACAGACGAGGATGTCAAATCGAGCGAGAATCGGGAAGGCGAGAAACACATTCATCAACCTGAAACAACCACTCTGGAAATCTTCATCACTCAGCATCAACAAGCAATTCAGTCGGGTTTTCACTACAAACGTCAAGTCAGTCAGTTCTTCTATACGGATCAGAAACTTGGAGGGCGAGTCACAAAGAATATTTCCTACAGCCTGTTGCAGACCTTTATCAACAACTAACTGTCTTCGCTGGCTCTATACTGGAGATTAGATGGCCGGGTCGGACAGAATCACCAACAAGAAACTCTGGCTGGGAACAAACAAAACAAGGACCAATCACCAACCAACAAATATACAGGAGAAAGTGAAGATGGATTGGACACTCGCTGGGGAGGCCGGTTGGTGACGTCGCGCGCGCGTCAGGCCATTACTCGAGTGGAACCAGGCCGAAAACGAAGCGGCGAGTGGGACGTCAGTGCCAGGGTGATATGGAGGAGATCGTGTGAAGAGGAGTTGAAAGAGTATGGACTAACATGGATGCAGGTGAAAAGTACAGCAGAAGGAAGACAGAAGCAAGTGGAGACGTGCAGATGGAGCCCTATATTCCACTAGGAACCGAAGAGAACAATAATAATGTCATTGTGTGTCAAATTGTACTCTTACACCATTTTTAGATTGACTTTCAACCAAAATATTGTGCGTTTCCCGACGGAGGTAAAGAAGAAATATCAAAACGGATCAGGTTTTCGCTTCAGGTCAGACCGCGATGTATCAGAATTTCACTGATGGGTGGTGACTAGCAGTGGAATCCAGGATGTGTACTTCGTCCTATATTCAACTCGTCATCTGGATGTACCTGCATTTCTCTGTCACTGAGTGATGATCTTCCCCCGAGGCTCGAGCCCAGTGCCCATAGTTTCAAACGCCAAAGCGTTATCCACTAGACCGCATGGGCTGCGAGAGCCAGCCACCTTTTGTTCAACGGATCATATTAATTATTTAAATGCATTTTAGTTTTTCCAGTCGATTGACTGAACCGAAGTGCTCTGTCTCAGGTTGACATGTCTATCGGCTTCTTGTGCAGATGCTTCCACGATGTCTGGGCATTTAATTAGAATTTAACTGGTGGATGGTGACTAGCAGTAGAATCCAGGATGTGCATTTCGTCATATTTGGGATTCTAATTAAATGCCCAGATATCGTCGAAGCATCCGCATAAGAAGCCGACGTGTCAACATCAGACCGAGCACTTCGGGCCAATCAATTGACAGGAAAATCTAAAATTCAATTAAAGCAGCGTATTATATGCTTTATTGTCAGTTATTATTTTACCAGTTTGGAAGTCTTCTGCACTCCGTTTTAGCATACACAACAAGATTCGGAAATTCAACATAAATGTGAAGTCAATCAGTCAGGTAGTTCTTCTATACGGGATAGAAACATGTACTGCATGTCATGAAAAACACTTCCAACATGAAACTGAAGACTTATTAAAAGCTGCCCCCTTCTCCAGCTTCATACTGAAGATTAAATGGCCAGCTGGCTGTGTGGAATGAATTAGCAACAAGAAATTTTGCAGTGGGACAAATAAACAAAGAGTCGATTGCTCAAAAAATATGTAGGAGAAATTGGAGATGGATAGCGCATAAGTTGAATAGGCCGTCGAATGACATCATGCTTAATGCAGGCCATCACTCGAGTGGAATCCCAGCGGGAAGAGACGAGTGGGTAGTCACTTAGAAGATGACACAGAGGCGATCGCGTGAAGAAGAGATAAGAGAGTTTGGTCATTATTTATTTTTATTTTATTTTTGATTTACAGCTTGATTCCACACTGTATTTCCGGTACAAGAATGGAATTTTCAGCATGGATATCGGCAGCCCAAATTTTGCGGGCCGACCATAGATATCAGATGTGCGTCGGTGCGGGCTCGAACCCCGGACCATGTGCATGGTCGGCGAGAGTCCTAACCACTTTGCCACCGACGCGCAGATGAAGACGATGGCAGAAATTAGAAGAAAGTGGCTATATGCTATTGAAGCCCTATGTTCCACTACTTTACTTGAAGATCCGCGGAAAACATTCCGCACATTATATAAAAACGCTTCGGAATAAAGGTATTATTGTTTTTATTATTGGACAGCTATTTCGTTTTAGGCGGGATGCCCAATAAGATCAACATAAGTGCATTTTGTCAAAGAGTCTAAAACCAGAACGACACAGCTGTCCAGTACTCCCTGGTTGTCAAAGATCCTCGAAATAATATCAGTTCATGATCTAAGTTGACAACAGAATTCTAATGAACTGATGTTGCCCGAAATAGTGTCAGCAACTGGCTTTCAAGTTTTGTGTTGAATTTCCACCTACTATCATAAAAAGCATAAACGGTGTAAATTTTTGAGATAATAAATAATTTGACTGAACAACAATAACTAGTGTGATGTGTCTAGTCCTTTCTTTGGTGCAGACTGAATACTATCAGTCACATTTGCAATGTGGCCACTATGCCACAGGATGGCTCGTCATAACGATGC